GTGCTATTTATTAGGGCTAATATAATAGTATTATTATTAATGTGCTAACAGGGCAGGTAGTGAAATTAGGTGAAGATTAAATAACTGACATGCAGTATTCCGGTGGGGAAATACATATTAACCTTTGGAACAACTGTTATATTAATTGACTTATTAAAAAACAATCATTAGATTAATTTTAAAAAAGTGTAATTATTAAGTGGTGCCCCATATTATATTCACATGCATGAAAAGCAGTGGTCAAATGTATATTTGGTATATGGCACTGCTTAACAATTTACTAGTTATTAGTTATGCAATTTTGCAAATCTTGCAAAATTCCGCTTAAACCTTAAATTCTCCTACTGCCTGTTCCTCAGTGACATACATGCAAATAGATGAACTTTTCTATTTAGAGTAAGGGATGGATGCTATTTGCAACTAAACTGTATACAGACTGAGACATGCATGCGTGAGAGCGTGCACACATGCCAGTTCGACAGTAGGTGAGAGTATGTTTGTGGTATGCGTAGTGCAGTCACACACGGCCGGGGCCACGGCAACTGAATAAACACAACCACCCTCATCCCCGCATCCACCACCACGCCAACTACCGTTACCTATCTTCCCTCAAAGTTCATGTAAATGAGCTTTAAGCACCAAACCTATAGTTTAAAATATAATCATCATTGATTTCTAGTGTAATATGTAAGACGGGCTTAAAATTTAAAATACCTGGATGCGTTAAAAGCATTTCTTAAAGCAACACCAAGACAAATCACTGACAGATCTCTAACTCAGTTGGAAAAAAAAAGAGCAAACCAAACATCTAAATGGACAAAGGAGGGAAAAAAATCTAATCATATCCGATGACTGATAGCACTTATGATGAGGATGGGGGGGTTAAAATATCCGGCGGTGAAGTGGTGCGTTCCCATTACAGCATCTCTCCATCTCTGAAAATGGCTTCATTAACAGGCCTGTGCCGAGAGCTCCCTCGCCGAGCGTACGAACGCGCAGTACCCCGAGGGTCCACCGGAAAGGCTGAGGTGAAGTCCATTAACACCCGACAGCTTGTTTTTTGACCACTAAATAAAACAAGATACTTTTTCTCTGTCTGCAGTATAAATAGCCTTTAGCTTAGGGGCTGGAGAGCACGAAAACTCTCCACTCGAAGTAGAAAATTAAACCCATTGATTTAGTGCTGTTGATCTGGAGGAAAGTGAAGATGTAAAAACCCGTACGAAGAGCAAGGTCACGCAATATTCAGAAGCCCGTGGACCTGAGAAACAGCTTCTTATCAAAATTTATACAGAGAGTAGCCAAACGAGGCTCTTTTGTTATTCATTAGAAGCAATTTAACAGCCAATCTTTGTTCAGTGTAACTCCCGCTGTGGGCCTAATCAGAGCACAATTGAGTTTAATGTACTAAAGACAACTGATGTTTTTCCTACTACGTCATTCATTCATTGTATTTTTTTCTGGATGAGCATGTCAACTAAATGGCCTAAAGAGATGTAAATGTCTCTATCTTAGCAGTGGTAAGGGGAAATGGGTGTGATAAAAAAAAAACCCTGTTCCCTGCCATATCTCATGACCTGTCTTGCTTTTCTGGCATACATTCTGACCCCTCAGGCAACCAGAGCCGGCTACCTCGAAGCCCATGACATAGGTCTTAATTTCCCAGCACTTACACTCCAGTCATGTGTCATTTGATGAAACACAACACCCCAGTTACCATTATTTGTCTGGATACAGGATCCTCTGGAATGTATCGGATTCCTGCCTCAGGGGGTATGCACCTCGGAAACATGGTCCTACCTCCACCAGCGACTCTCTTCCACCCTCCTCCCCCAACCCCCTCCGCTTTCCATTCAGTAAAATTCCACTAGAGGCCTGCTTGATTCGCACTGCCTCATCGCCGATCAGCCTAGCACGCATCACAATAGAGGAACAGTTTATTGTATTGAGGGCAGTTTTCCTCCTTTGCGTCACGCTGCCAGCTAAAGAGTAAACACCACGCTGAACTCTACCTTTTGTGCAACCAAAGTTGAAGCCAGGTCACACTGCCATCTGTGCATGAAAGCAGGCCCGGAGCTCTTAATGAAATTCAAATAGAAAAAAAAAACTATTTTGTGCTCTGGTGCAACAAGGGTCACAACATATCTCCCCCTCCCCAGAGAGCAACAGTTATACCATGCGGTACTTGGGCTGGTAGTACGGAGTATCTCTGAGTCACTGGCCTGCGTAATTCAGTCTAGGGAATTATGACAGTGGAAAATCATTTCCCCGGGCCGAGGATAGGAGGCCATGGCTAATCGTTCAGTAATCTGATCTGCCTGCATACTGTAGCATTCAGCTAGCCTCGCCAGCCACTCGCACATGTGGACACCCCTACCGCCTGCCAACTGTCTGGATGGACGCTAGCGCCATTCAAAGACAACTCTCCAGGTTTTCCCGAGGATTACAGATGATATCGGATCATTTGCTAATACTCGGTTGTGCTGCGCTGTCTGAAATGTATTTACTTTTCTCCTGCTCTCCAATACGCCTCATGGTAGCCCAGCCTAAGCCCAAAAATGCCACCTCCACATTCCGGGACAGAAAAGACACTTAAACGCAATCTACTTTTTAGAGGCTACAGTGGCGCAATCTGCCTCTCGAACTCTGGCTTATTAATCCAAAAGCTTCATTTTAATGAGGGAACATCTGACTTTGTCTGTCAGACAGCAGGCTCTAGCTGGGTTTACGTCCAGTTGCAGATTCCAGTATCTTGTGGAGCTAGTGGTGTTGTAGTAATATGTGAATAAAAACCATAGGGAGCAGCTCTGTGGCACAAAGCAGTGCTTATAACCAGCAGAGAAGGTTGAGGGTTGTTGGGGGGGGGGAGTTGAGTTTGGAAAGATGCCTGGCTTCGGCCTCACACTAAAGAGAGGTCTGCCCCCCACACACAGAGTGGAGCTACAAGGAGCAGTGACATGGAAAAATACAAGCGCTGGCAAGTTGTTGGGCCCTGCAGCTCCCAACAATTACTGCACATAGCTTTAAATGTGATGATAGTTACTGCTTACAATTAAATTTACATCCACCTCTACAAGGAGATAAGCAACGACGAAGGGCTGGAGCCTCTGATCGACAGCCAATCTCCCTCTGTTCCCTGTTAAAACCTTAAAATCTACAATGACATACTGCCTGTGATCATGCCTCATTCTGATAAACGCTCAAGACGCGCCTCGGTGACGCGATCTGTCATACAGCATCATACCCGCGCTATTTTATCAACCTGCGTGTATGTGTGTGTGTGTGCGCGCGTGTAGGCATTGTAGCCCTGCTGCGCTGTTTCACAGGTATATCTAAGTGAAAAGATGTTGATATATGATCAAATGGATGCGGCAGCAGTGGCAGCCTTCATCAGCTGAAAGCGCTAGATCACAGCATGGTTGGCAGCCAGTGGGAGCAGTCAGATGGAGGGTTAGAACAACCAGACAAACAGTTGGCACGGATAAATAGAACACAACTTAGGATCCGGCTTTCCACAAAATTTTGACAAACAAATGACAGCAACCTCACTCCTTAAAAAAATATAATCTGAAAATGGAATAAGCCCCACTTTTTTTCCTCTCTCTCTCTCCACAGATGCAGGGTGGGACATTTGATAAACAACACATGGCTTGGGAATAGCAAAAAAGGAAAAGAAAAAAAAGTTAAGCAATGGTCAAATGAATCTCTTGATACATACAATCAGCAGGGCACTGCTTTTCACTTGCAAAAATTTGCTCTGCAGCTGAGGCAAAATGCAGGGAAAGTCCTTGTGACTTTGCCAAATACATTCTGAGCGTGAGTCACTGTTCTTTAGTAATCTCTTAGTCACTTGAGGTGCACACTTCCATGCTCCAACGCCCCAAGGCAACAGATTTCAGGCAGGTCTGGACTGCCTACCCCCCTTTTTTCTCTCTTTTCTTTTTTTTTTTAAGTGTTTATAGTTTTTAACGGATGCGGTGCTTGGTGGAGGCATGCATTTGCTCTATTTTACGCCAGACAAGAGCAACAAAGCAGGCTCACAGAGAGAAGACACAAATCGTATCTGAGCCTTCCTTCTGTGCATGGCTGGAGCCCTTTTACAACAACCACCAAGCCACATGTAAACATATCAGAACCGGGTGCCTTTCTCGTGCATTTGAAAATGTCCCACTTTCTCGGAATACAAAAAACCCCTCATCTGGTTAATAATTTGACCTAATCAGCTTCACATTATTAGTTGTAAACAGTTAGTAAATTAGAAAAATCAATAAACAAACACCAGCATTTAGATGACTCCTACAGGTATCTGATAAATCCCATAATAACAGCTTTTAACAAGCAAGTTTCAAGAAAAAAATATGATCACCTAAATCAAATGAAGTCATATTAAAGCACTAGTTACACTCCCGTGCTAATCTTTTGTCCACCTCTGCCACGCGCAGCAGACACTCGCATAAATCTGTTATTTTACGCACACTATCATTCGCCTTTTTAACCACAGCACTGTAACAGGTCTGCTGTTAACACTGCGGCCGGATAGCGCAAACTTATGGGAGGGCGATAATTTCCTAACACCGTGCACACTGAGCCACAAAGTTGTAGAAAGCAGTTCTGCTCGGTGCCGAACTGTGCCGTCTGGTCCCCTCGATAAAGGAATTCCCGTGAAAATCACGGAGCGGTTCTATCCTGAGCACAAACTTCCACCCGACGCGCTCCACGACAATAACGTTAGCCCCTCGATCACCGCTGCTACGTGGACGAGCGTGAAATCTGTGCCGAGGGGCCGCCACCATAATAACAACGCCGGGGCTTTATGTTCCCAGCTAGTGGGCAGAGAGAGAAAGAGAGGGAGATCAGGCCGGAAAAAAAAACTGGCCTCATCTCCGTCTGCGCCAGACAACTAGCCTGGCCTGGGGAGACCGAGCGACGAGGCTTTCGGTCGCCTACCAAATAGCAAAAACACCGCGACGCTCCGTGCGGTCGTGTCGATTTTCACTCACCTTGTCCGTATGTGACGACGCACGGATGTTGTGCACACGAGGCCGGCCGGGTTGAATGTGGTGATTTAAGCGCGCCGTGCTCACGTCGTCTCGGTTTGCTGTCGGCCGTGATGTGGAAGCGGGCAGAGCGGACTCGGCTGGGAGAAATCGGGAAATGTGAGAAAGACCCTCTCTCCTGCAGCTCTGTGCACAGGCAGTAGCCCATAACTGTCGTCAGGAGGCGCCAGCGCGGCGCATTTTTCCTCCTTCTGATATGCGCATGCATGCATGCAAGCTACAGAACTCCTCAAAGAAATCACTGTGCGATCTTGTTCCTGCAGGAGATTACTGCGGGAGCGTCCCTGATCGACAATGCGGAGATTATTTGTCTTCTTGTGCTTCCACGTTTGTCGAAAACTATTACAATTGCACTTAAAAGTTTTTGATATTTTTTTGGAAAATGGGTAGTTGAGGGAAAGGAATGCTATGTGCACAAGGAGCCAACATTTAGGTCATTTAACCGGTTTTGCATCAGTCTCTGTTTCCTTATAAGAATCACTTACAGTGTTGAGTCATAGTGGCTTTATCACTGCATTACTACAGTTATCCTTTCACACTACAGTATTTTCATTATCTTGTGAAGGATATGTCTAATGGAATACTTGTATTTGCAACCATATTCTTGGTGATGCTTAATAATACAAAACATTTCACAGCAAACATCAATATCTTTGAATCATCTGCAATAAAACTGGTGATGACGGTCCATAATAGCCTAAATAACAACCAACTGTCTGTCGTGTCATGTGCCAAACAGATTCACACAGTATCAAGGCGATGACTTCTTGAAGCAGCTCTGTAACACGAAGCATCTGAGATGCGGCAGCACACCTACACGTCCTCTGACCTTGTGACTCTTGCAGTTGGTGATTTTAATTACAGGCCGGTTAATCCGAGACAAAGCCGTCCTTCAAAACAACTGGCTCACATGATCAAGGAGAAAGGGTCAGAAAACTCATTAGGACAAAAGGGCTGTGCCCAAAAGGTTTGCTTTGTTGTGCTATAGGGCAAGAGACTGCCTGTTCACCCCATTTGAAGAAAAACAACAGGACAAGGCCAGTGGAAATTTCTGCTCCCCTATTATGTAAATATGATTACTCAAACCCTCAATCATTAACAAACGGAGCCACCTATCTGATAGAATTCAACCAGTTTATACTTGAAATCCTAAATCTAAGTAAGAGATCAAAAGAAAAAGGACAACATGGGGATTTTCCACTTGGAGGTGATCATAAAGAATCCCAGACGCTTCATCTTGACTTGCTAAAGGGCAGCTGCATGCTGCCAGTGCTCCAGACCTCCATCTAATCCCTGCCCTCTGACTCCGCAACCTCTCTGACCTTAAATAAACATTAGGGACTTAGTTGCCATCTGTAATCTTCAACATCCTTTGGCCCACTAATTGGAGTTTCACACCGCAAAGACACCCTGACCTGAATCAGAGCAGGTGGATAGACAAACTATGTGTGCGTGCGTGCGTGCGTGTGTGTGTGTGTCGAGGACACAATTGGCTTACACAAGCTCTCAAACATCAACCAAGCAGTCTGTCTGTCTCCTGTTTTCCCCTGTCTCCGGAAATAGCACTTTACAGCCTTTGTTTACAACAAATATCTCTGTATTAGCACCTCAGTTAAGCAAATAAAGCATTAAAGTCATTTTAAACCTCCCCACAGGCTGTAAGCGATATCATATTAGGTCACTGATTTTTTAAGACATACTCAAAAAAAACACCAGTTGCGTTTTCTGTTTTTGGGGTAAATTAATATTATACACCTTCACAATTAACAGTTCGTGTCATAGAGCCAAAGGGAAAAGCACACAACAAAAACACACTCAGGTTTACACCCAAGGTGCAGATGGACGAGTCGGGGTTAGTATTTCTACTATACACACGGTTATTCTCTGATATTTACGTTCCCATTTTATTTTATCGTAAACCTGATAGTTTCTTGAAATAGAGCGACATCCTTAGGTGAAACGTGGCTATCTGGCCCGCGGTGCATTGTGGGCTTTTGTAGTCTCGCAGACTACACAAGATTCCCACATCCCGCTAAACTAAACACATCCTCAAACTGACTCCTGATAGAACACATCCTAGACTTAAAAGTAAAAACAATAGTCAATTTAAAAATGTGTCGCCTTTCGCCCAGTGTAGAGCGAGGTCTGCAGGGTTGCCAGTTCTGCAGTTTTCCCGGAAATGGGCTACAGTTAAAATGCTGCAGGGTAAAAATTATTGGTTAAGTAGACACATTTCGAAGGAACTTACAGGTACATCTATAAATACAAATTCATTTTTGAAATGAAACAATGCATACATGAATAAGCAGTTATATACATGTTTACATATCCCAGCAAACTGGTTCTAGTTCACATGTCATCCACTTACAGGTACTCTCTGCCAGCCGCTGCCTGTACCGCTACCAGCGTTGGCTGATGTGGGCGCCAGTTTTGATTGGCTATTGGGGTGGTTTTTCACGCACAGACCTGGCAACCCGTTCCGGTTGATCCACAGTCTGCAAAATGGCGACTTCCCTAGGCTCCAACACTTACAACAGACAGAACTGGGAAGACGCGGTACGTTTTATTGGGGTTATATGTTGCCGAGTGGTTTCAATGATTTAAGCACATTATGTTACGTTTCATTTCACGAGTTAATATAATCGCGAAACACGCTAGCTTTTTATTAAAATAGTCAGTTTTCTTGATAGTTAGCCTTCCGCTAGCTAGCGGTAGCTAGTTGTAGAAGCGTGGCTGCTAGCTTCATTAGCTCACCTGTGTACATTATTGCTTTCGATATTTTACATTAGTTCATGGAACATACCTTTTTCCACTGGATCCAACGAGACCATATTATAGAGTGTAGTAAAAACGACAGTGACTGAGCTTACAGCTATCATTGCTAACGTAACCTAACCCTGCGCTGTGTGATAGTTAACTGGCTGCACCTATAAAGGCCAGCACTAGCAGGCTAACAATGCTAAAACGATGGTAGGCGGGTGAAAATTTGCTTATATAAATGAATATGAGGAAACGAAAAAAGCCACATCATCCTGGGTGGAACCGCTCTAAGTGACACTGAAAAAACTAACCTTCTTGTTAGGCAGGTTTGACAGCGGCGAAAATATTAGAGAAAATTTAGTCTAAAAATAAATTCTTTACACTACTGGGTAAATTCAACAGCGACTGATTGTTATATAAGGTCACAAACAGACCAGTCCTTAGTTGGAAACAAAAAACGTGTTTGTGACCTACCTAAACATTACTTACCCTATAAGGCAACAAATCAGTTTCCCTTATTGAGCTATGACACCACAGGACATTTATCCAATGTTGGTTTTGTTAAGATGCTAGACTATAAACTTTGCAACCCTAGATTATGTAGATGTCGCTTCAGCCATAAGATCTGCCTATATTTAGATGTTTGGCTGATGCTGTCTGTGAGACGGATTAGGGCAAGGCCGTTTTCAGCACCCAGCACTTGGACTGAAACAGCATCCTTTAACAGATGGCAAAATAGGTCCCATAGCACGTCTTGTATTCAGTCTTACCTGTACGTGTGCCAAGGTGCTCACAGCAGAAGGTGAAGCAGAGATGGGGAGCCAAGTCGGTCTGTTGAATAACTTAATTCAAGGGATTGTTGGATAAACCGAAGATTACAGTGCTTGATTTTCACGGTTCTTCTTTCTCCTCAGGATTTTCCAATTTTGTGTCAGACATGTTTAGGAGAAAATCCTTACATTCGTATGGTGAGTGAGCATCCCTGTGCTTTCATAGCAAATTCAAAACTATTTGCTTGTAGTGTTAATACCAGCAAATGTGCAAGTCCAAATATGGTCATGCTTTGTTTTACAGACCAAGGAAAAATATGGGAAAGAATGCAAGGTATGTTTTTTTGTTTTTGTTTGGGGGGGGGTGCCTTAACTGTTTAAATTGTACATATTTAGCCCACATTGTACAGGCCTTTTTGATGCATGACAATAAAGGGCTATTCTATTCTAATACGTCGCTCTCCGCCTATCAGATCTGTGCTCGGCCCTTTACAGTGTTCCGATGGTGTCCAGGAACACGGATGCGTTTCAAAAAGACAGAAGTCTGTCAGACCTGCAGTAAAATGAAAAATGTTTGTCAGACATGTCTGCTGGACCTGGAGTATGGTGAGTCTCCTCTGGGTTTTGTCGCTGTGCAGATTTCATGAGCCCCTCATTTATATAGTTCTGAGCGTAACCCTCCTGTCATATCTTGTGTTTGACAGGTTTGCCTATCCAAGTCCGAGACACTGGACTCTCCGTTAAAGATGAGGTTCCTCGGTCAGATGTGAATAAAGAGTACTACACACAGAACATGGAGAGAGAGGTAAGCTCCTTTCTCATGACTGCAGTATGATTTTTTTTTGTTTGTTTGTTTTGGGTTTGTTTATTTTTTAAGTTGTTATGCTTGCACAGTGATAACAGTCTTTACTGGTCCAATGTCTGATCCAGTGTTTTTTTTTTTTCAAGCAAACATAAGAGAGATTTTCCATCCATCATGCCTCTCTGGACTTCTTTGTTTACAGATAGCCAATTCCGATGGCACTCGGCCAGTGGGCCAGCTTGGTAAGGCTCCAAGTTCTAGTGATATGTTGCTGAAGTTGGCTCGGACCACACCATATTACAAGAGGAACCGGCCACACATCTGCTCCTTCTGGGTCAAGGGAGAGTGTAAGAGAGGGGAGGAATGTCCCTACAGGTGAGTGCCATGATGCTAGTCTCCATGGAGCTGATTCTTTCTTTTGATATCAGCTCACATATATTAAGACATCGCTATGGGTTAGTTGAAGTTTCATATCATATTTATTGTTTTTCTGTTGCCCTCTTTACACAGGCATGAGAAGCCCACAGATCCTGATGACCCTCTAGCAGACCAAAACATAAAGGATCGTTACTATGGCATCAATGACCCAGTGGCTGACAAATTACTAAAGCGGGCTTCAACTATGCCCCGACTGGACCCACCAGAGGACAAATCCATCACCACTCTCTACATTGGGGGGTTGGGAGACACTGTTACAGATGGAGACCTCAAGTAAGCATTTCTGTTTCATAATGACCTCTTTTACAGCTTGCTGTGATAATTTATTGTTATGCCTCGATGCTCGGGACAGCTGTGGCTGGAGGCATTGTGTTTTTGGCTGTCTGTTCATCCATCTGTTCCATTCCTATCTTATCTCTCTCATCACTATTTAAATCAGGCACAAACAAAGATGAGCTGGTTAGAATAATACAAAATACAAATGTCTAATTATACTAAAATGATCATAGCGTATGTATCTTTGCATGCTCCTTATCGCCTCCAACACAAGTGCACTAATCTTGATGAAACTTTGTATAAACATTGCCTAGGGCCCTGTGAGTGCCGACATTTATATGGCCTATAGGAATATTTTATAGAAATCCCACAGTCGTTTATTGTTGTACATTTGACAGTTTAATTGAGCGGTGCAGTGTCAGAATAGAATGTTGCCACAATATAATGTATCATAGCATTACACTGTAATGATCGTAGCATATGTATATTTGTTCCTTCTCCGCGATGCATAGCAAGGGCGTTTGGCAGTAATACAAAATGCTGATGGGATGTTCTACGAGAGCAATTTGCTGACTTTTACTCAAAGAAATAAGTCAGGAAAAGAAGAAGAGATTGTGGTCATATGTCACGTTTGGTCAGATTCTAAATTGGTAACACTTATCATTCGTGTCTGCTTAATAAACTCTTCTAAAGCTTCCGCTACATGTATTATTAGGCTAGACAGCTGTTGTTGCCGGCTAGAGGGTTACAGCAACAAGCGGATATTGTTATTTCTACTTACTTTGTAAATTTTGCTGTGTTGCAGTATTTTTATTTCACTATTTTGTGTCATTGCAGGAGTCACTTCTACCAGTTTGGTGAAATCCGAACCATTACCATAGTCCAAAGGCAGCAGTGCGCTTTCATCCAGTTTGCCACGCGGCAGTCAGCTGAAACGGCTGCTGAAAAGTCCTTCAACAAACTCATTATTAACGGACGAAGACTCACTGTCAAGTGGGGAAGGTAAGAATCCGATCAAAAGTTAAACATTGTCCAGCTTTGTGAATATTAAGAGCAACACCAGAAGGCACTGAATCCATTAAAGGGGGCTCATAACAATGTAAATTACAAAACATCATTTTGCAATCTGATTTATAAGCTTAACTCCCATAAACCCCCACCAAGGAGAGCCATTTAGGTAAAGATGTCAATTTTAAAAGTGATAATTTGCCATGTTTAAAGGTAATGCCCTGACATAATGCTTGACTCAAAGTGGAAATGTAGAAAGAGTTTAATCAAATTATGTCAGGCAGGAGACTTAAAATTGTTTTGGTCCTGGATGGTGAATGTTGCAGTGTCATTAGTCATTGTTTGACTTGTGCTGTGTGCCCATTTAGGTCCCAGGCAGCAAGAGGAAAGGAGGGAATCAAAGATGGTGTCAGTGAGATGGGTACCAGACTTGATCCTGTGCCTGGACTGCCTGGAGGTGAGTCTGGAAGAGTGTGAGGATGTGTGTGTGTGCATGAAGAACATTTAGAGTTGTTCTTGTGGCGCTGAGCATTTGTGGTAGGTGTGTATGGGCAGGATTTCAGCTGTGCTTGATTTAGGGTTGAAAATGTTCCTTATTTATCTTATACTGAGCTATTCAGTTCATCATCTGTCCCACACCAGTCATTTTAGCTTTTCTCCCTTAAACCTTCAGTTCTGTACTGACACTGGTGGGGAATAGAGTCACTGCAGAGGGGAAAAAAAGCTGAGTGAATGTGACTTTTGGAGTAAAGCAAAGAGTCTGCCATTCCTTTTTTCAGTGTTTCAAGGTAGTTGCACTTTAGAGCACAAATAAGATTGTGTGCAGCTCCACACAACCTTGGAGGAAGTTGCCACATTTGCAGATTTCATGTGAATCCAAGTGGAACGGACACTTCATCTGCTGTGACTGCGTATGTACTGCAGCTCAGGTTCAGCTGTCAGACACAGCGAGCAGAGGAGAAAGCGAGCTGTTGCATGCTGTTTGATGTCTGCATCTAATTCTTATTTGTTGTTTTACAAACTCTCAATTAATATGAAATCTGTGCATGTAGAATTGGGCTAATTTGGCAAAATCGGACATAAAAACATCTTGCTGGCCTGTTGCCATTTCCTGTTTAGTTTCTAAAACTTTGCTCTTCTTTGCACTAGCTCTGCCCCCACCGCCAGCTCTAGATGAAGAGCCTCCTGCTAACTACTTCAACCTTGACCCCAGCTCCTCTCCTGCTGTCATGAACATTGCATTACCCCCACCTCCAGGCATCAATCCACCTCCTCCAGGTAAAAT